CTGAGCACTTTGGAACTGTTTTTATGAAAGAAAAAGAAGATGCTTTCAAAGTTGTGGTGAAGGAGGAAATGGTTGAAGTTTTTGATAGGCTAAAAATTGATGAAGAGGTAGTGCTCAAGATAGGCTGCTTTACTTAAAGTTGATAAGTATTCAGGAATAAATGAGTCCCATTCAAGGGAAGTAAGGTAAGAAACTGTAGAAGCACTAGCCATAAACTTCTAATTCTCCCTGAATGCAAGATAGTGCCAGAGAACATAAGAATTCCAAATATTACACCACCATGTTCAAAAAAAGTTGCAGGCATAAATGTAGCATCAACATGGCAGTTAGTTTAACCTCTGTCGTATGGAAACTTTTAGAAACATAATTCAAGATAAAGCACCTTGGGACAAATGTTGATAAATTAAGGGAAAGCAGTAAAGATCTGTTGATGGAAAGTCATGTTCAGCTAATTGCTTGTGTGTTTCGATGAGGTAGAGGGTGGTTGCTGAGGGTAATGTGGTTGAGTACATGGACTTTCAAAAGGCATTTGATGTGGAACATAACAGGTTTGGCAACAAAGTTAGGGCCCATGGAATAAAATAAACAATATTGATGCAAAGTTGCTTGAGTGACAGGGAATGGCCTAGTGGTGTATTTGGGTTTACCCAGGATTGGTGTTAGAACTCTGGCTTTTTTGATTAAATATTACGGACCTGGATTGTACAGAGCACAATCACTAAATTTGCAGATGACACAAAACCTGAAAGTATTTTGAACTGTGAAGTGGACATTGGTAGACTTCAAGGTGGCATAGACAAGATGGTACAATGGGTGGAAACATGGCAGATTAAGTTTAATGCAGAGAAATGTGATTTGCTTCATTTTGATAGGAAGAACAGGGAGAGACAATTCTAAAGGGAATGGGGAAGCAAGGCAACCTCAGGAACTATGTGCACAAGTTATTAAGCAATTAATTAACAGAGCATTCAAGTTCCTTAGCTATATAATTAAGAGAACAGAGAACACAAACGAGGTTGTTATGACAAGCCCAGTGTAAAATATCTGTTCACAATATGGCTCAATAATTTGGATGCGGGGACCAAATGTAATATTTCCACGTTCTCAAAGCTAAGCTGGAGTGTGTGTTGTGACAAAGATGTAAAGCAGCTTCTTAGAGGATTTGGACAGGCTTTGTGGGTGGAGTGGACAGAGCATGGTAGTAGAAATATTATGTGAAAAAATATCAGGTTTTCCACTTTGGTCAAAGGAACAGATATACTGAGTATGTCTTATCATTTAGAAAGCTGGCAACTGTAGATGTACAGAGGCACCTAATCATCCTTGTTGATAAGTCACTGAAACCTAGCATGCAGTGCAGCTAGTAATTAGGAAGGCTAATGGAATGTTAGCCTTTATCGCAAGAAGACTTGAGTACAGGAGTAGTGAAGTCTTGCTTCAATTGTAAAGGAGCTTGGTTAGACTGCACCTAGGGTACTGTGTGCCGTTTTGGTCTCCTTATCAAGTCATAGAAACAATTTCCATAGTACGGAAACAGACACTTCAGTCCAACTTGTCCATACTGACCCACTATCCTAAAGTGATCTAGTCCCATTTGCCAGCATTTGGCCCATATCCCTCTAAACCCTTCCTACTCATGTATCCATCCAGATGTCTTTTAAATATTGTAATTGTACCCGCTTCCACCACTTTGGCATCTTGTTCAGTACATGCACCACTGTCTGCGTGAAAAAGTTGCCCCTTTTAAATCTTTCCCCTCTCACCTTAAACCTGTACCCTCTAGTTTTGAACTCCCCTACCCTGGGAAAAAGAGCTTGGCTATTTACCCTATCCGTGCTCCTCATGATTTTATGAACTTCTGTAAGGTCACCCCTCAGCCTCCGACTCTCCCGGGAAAAATGCCCCAGCCTATTCAGCCTCTTCCTATAACTCAAATCCTCCAATCCTAGCAACGTCCTTGTAAATCTATTCTGAACTCTCTCAAATTGAACAACATCTTTCCTATAGCAGGGAGACCGACTCAGGAAAGATATTATTGCCATAGAGACAGTGCAAGAAAGGCTCATCAGACTTGATCCCAGTATGCCGGAACTGTCCTATGAAGAGAGATTGGGTAAACAGGGCCTGCATTCTCTAGACTTTCAAAGAATAAGAATTGACCTCATTGAAACTCACAAAATGCATAAAGGGATAGGTAGGGTAGGTGCAGAAAAGATATTTTCATGATTGGAGAATCTAGAAGCAGGAGACACAAATTAAAAATAAGGGGAATGCCATTTAGTGGCAAATGAGAGTTTTTGTTTTACTCAGGGGTGGTGTATGTTTTAGAATTCTCTATCCCGTTAGGGCTGCAGAAGCTCAGTTTGCATATTTTTAAATTAGAGATTGACAAATTTCTGATTACCAGTGGCATACAGGGTTTATGGAGATAGCGTAGAGCAATGCATTGAAATATTTGATTACTGTCAGTTGTATTAAATGACTGAGCACGCTTGGCAGACTGAATGGCCTAATCCTGTTTCCAGCTTCCTGTAGATGGGGAGGCTGCTGTAGAAAAGCTTAATGAGCAGGATTCAGGGGTGCGAAACTTCACTTAAGAATAGATTAGAGAAAAGAAGGTTAAAAGAAGATGTGATAGAGCCATTCAAAATTGTGAGGTATTTGGAGCAGATAGGAAAAGTTTATTCCCATTCCTAGAAGGATCCAGAATCAATGGACATTGATATAAAGGCTTCAGAGAAAGTGAATGCATTAGAGATTCAAAATTCTGTTAGTTGTGCAAAAGTGACTGCAGATTGGAAGGTTGCACAATAACATCATTGTATAAGTCAAGAAGGAGAACAAAAACTAGGAACCAGAGACTTGTTGGTCTGATGTCAGCAGTAGGAAAAATATTAGAATGTCTTATAAAAGATGTGATTTTTGGATATTTTCGAATAATAATTGTCCAGTTGGAAAGAGTCAACATGGATTTGTGAAAAGAAAATAGAATTTTTGAGGATGTTAGTAACAGAGTAATTCTGAAGACTTTTGCTAAAGACAGGAGGTTGGTAAACAAAAGTTTAACACCTGGGATTGAAGGTAACATACCAGCATGGATTGAGGAATGGTTAACAGGCAGAAAACAGAGAGTAGGAATTAATGGGCCACTCAGAAGTTGGATGGCTATGACAAGAGGGCTACCAACTGATCAGTTCTTGGACCTCAGCTGTTTACAACTTGTACCAATTGCAACATTTGTAAGATACAAGACTTAATGGAATGAAAGCTGGGAGGAGGATACAGAAAGGCTTCTGGATAATTTAGAGAGGCTGAGCAAGTTAGCAAGAGCATAGAAAATGGAATATAATGTGGACAAGTGTGAAGTTATCCACTTTGCAAGGAGAAAAAAAAGTGAAGAATATTTATTAAATGGTGAAAGATTGGAAAGTGTTGATGTAAAAAGGGACATGGGTGTCCTAGTTCAAAAGGCACTGAAGCTAACACACAGGAAGCAACTTGAAGGCAAACGATATGTTGGCCTTCATCACAAAAGGATTTGAATTCAGGCACAGTGAAGTCTTGCTTCAGTTTTATGGAACACTGGTGAGACTGCATTTGGAGTTTCTTGTGTAGTTCTGGCCCCTTGCCTAAAGATGGATGTATTTGCCATACAAGAGAGTTCAGCAGAGGTTTACCAGACTGATTCCTAAGATGGTGGGAGTGGACTATGAGAAGCATTTGAGGACACTGGAGTTTAGAAGAATGAAGGCGCCAATCTCATAGAAATTTACAGAAGTTTTAAAGAGATAAGCAGAGTAAATGCAGGATAATTTCTGTGTGGGGTCTAGAACCAAGTAACATGGACTCCGAATAAAAGACCATCCATACTATAAGAACTTCTTCCCTTGGAAGGTGGCAAATCTGTGGAGCTATTTACTCCAAACGGCTGTGGAAGTTCAGTCATTGGGTAAGTTCAAGACATCGATTGATAGATTTCTAGTTGCTAATGACATTGAGGGATATGTGAATGAATGGAAATATGGCATTGAGGTGGGTGATCAGTGATGATTTACAATGTAGAGCAGACTGGAAGTGCTGAATAGCCTAGTCCTGCCCCACATTCCTATGTTCTATCCAATATGTTAACCCCTGCACCACAGCTTTTGTTTTTTGCAAGAACTTTGGTGGGTACCTTATCAAACCGGTGGCTCAGTGGTTAGCACTGCTGCCTCAGAGCACCAGGGACCCGGCTTCAATTCTACCCTCTGACGACTGTGTGGAGTTGCACGTTCTCCCCGTGTCTGCGTGGGTTTCCTCCAGGTGCTCCAGCTTTCTCCCACAGTCCAAAGATGTGCAGACTAGGTGGATTGGCCATGCTAAATTGTCCATAGTGTTCAGGGATGTGTGGGATGGGTCTGGGTGGGATGCTGAGAGGGTCGGTGTGGACTTGTTGGGCCAAAGAGCCTGTTTCCATACTGTAGGGATTCTATGATCTTCTATGATCTATGATCAAATACTTTCTAGAAATCAGCACGGTACATTGACCACTTCTGCTTTATCTACAGTACATGTCATTTCCTCAAGGGCTCAAATAAATTGATTAAACATGATTGTCATTGATAAAGCCATGTTAACTCTGCCAGATTACCTTGAACTTTTCTAAGTGCCCTGCCTTAACATCTTTAATAATTGCTTCTAAGAGCTTTCCTGTGACAGATAAAAAGCTAACTGACCTGTAGTTTCTTGCTTTCTGTTATAAACTAGATAACAATCTTTAAAATGGATAAAGCAATTACAGGGAGTTTTTCTCATGATGGCAAATCTGTTTATTTGAATTGCCTTTTGTCTCCTGTGTGCCATTTGCTAATTATTGTAAATAGAAGTAAATTTCCATTTTTAATGCAAAAATATACTTTATTCATCAAAAATCTTTATGTATGTACATGATCACCTTGCGTTTCTGTACAGTCTTTGCACACGAATAACAAGTAAACATTGGAATTTGGCATTTCCTGCAGTTGGAAAACAAAACCCAAGGCATTTCTTACTTATTCAAGACCGTATTACTTGGATTCCTGCTAATTAGGGCCTTTTTATGTGATGGAAATTTATAACATCTGCCAGTACAAAAGTGACTTTAGTCCACTTTAAGTGGCAGTATTTTAACCATGGCTTTGGTCATGATCTCACACTCTGGCCAGTTCTAAACCCTTAGCCACATTGACTGGCGAGATGGTGAATTAAAGGCTGGATTTTTTTAATTGAAAGAGAGGGAAAATAAGAGTAGTTATTCCAGTAATTTTAAGTGAGCAGCTTAAAAACACCAGCAGAACTTTGCAAGCACGCCAGTGACCTTTGCCCAGAGGGGGCAGTCGGTGCAGATTGAAAACACACATACATAGAACATAGAACATGGAACATTACAGCGCAGTACAGGCCCTTCGGCCCTCGATGTTGCGCCGACCTGTGAAACCAATCTGAAGCCCATCTAACCTAAACTATTCCATTATCATCCATATGTTTATCCAATGACCATTTAAATGCCCTTAAAGTGGGCGAGTCTATCATTGGAATAAAAGAATAAAGCAAGTTTGTCTATTTTCCTTCTGGTTCTTGCTTGTAAATCTATTATATGCACTACTAAAAGTCACCATAGACCCAGAGGACTGTAGGGCTTATCTCTCATTGACCTGAGGATCATCATACCTCGGGTGAAGGGAGAAATCGAGAAGGTCGGACCTTTATGGTAATCTCTGCTGGTGCAGGAATTGAATCAGTGCGGTGGGTATTATTCTGCATTGTAATCCAGCCGTACAGCCAACTGAGATAACCAACCCCACTAAGCGCTAATAGTGACATGTCTGCTATCATTTCTTTGTGACGCATCGCTGTAGGTAAGAATACCATAATTTTAAAGCAAAGTGTTTGTTCACATGAGAATCAGCTCAGCAACAGAAATTACACCTTGAATGTTCTAGAAAATAGAACAGTACAGCACAGCACAGTAGAGGCCCTTTGGCCCGCGATGTTGTGCTGACCTATTATCCTGCTAAGATCAATCTACCCTGCATACCCTACATTTTACTATCCTCCATGTGCCTATCCAAGAGTCGTTTAAAAGTCTCTAAAGTATCTGACTCCACTACCACTGCCGGCAGCACATTCCACACACCCACCACTCTCTGTGTGAAGAACTTACCTCTGACATCTCCCCTATACCTTCCTCCAATCACCTTAAAATTTTGCCCCCTCATAATAGTCATTTCCGCCCTGGGAAAAAGTCTCTGACTATCCATGCTGTCTATGCCTCTCATCATCTTGTAAACCTCTATCAAGTCACCTCTCATCCTTCTTTGCTCCAATGAAAAAAGCCCTAGCTTCCTCAACCTTTCCTCATAAGACCTGCCCTCCAGTCCAGGCAGCATCCTGGTAAATCTCCTCTGCACCCTCTCTAAAGCTTCCACATCCTTCCTATAATGAGGTGACCAGAACTGAACACAGTATTCCAAGTGTGGTCTAACCAGAGTTTTATAGAGTTGCAGCATAACCTCACAGCTCTTAAACTCAGTTTCCCTGCCAATGAAAGCCAACACACCATACGCCTTCTTTACAACTCTATCAACTTGGGTCACAACTTTGAGGGATCTATGGACGTTGTCCCCAAGATCCCTCTGTTCCTCCACACTGCGGCGAATCCTGCCATTAACCCTATATTTTGCATTCAAATTCAATCTTCCAAAGTGAATCACTTCACATTTTTCTGGGTTGAATTCCATCTGCCACTTCTTTGCCCAGCTCTGCATCCTGTCAATGTCCCGTTGCAACCTACAACAGCACTCCATGCTGTCCACAACTCCACCAACCTTTGTGTCGTCAGCAGACTTATTAACCCACCCTTCCACTTCCTCATCCAAGTCATTTATAAAAATCACAAAGAGCAGACGTCCCAGAACAGATCCCTGCGGCACACCACTGGTCACTGAGCTCCAGGCTGAATACTTCCCATCTACTACCACCCTCTGTCTTCTATTGGACAGCCAGTTTTGTGTCCAGACAGCCAAATTTCCCTGAATCCCATGCCTCCTTACTTTCTGAATGAGCCTACCATATGGAACCTTATAGAATGTTTGCTAAAATACATATACACCACATCCACTGCTCTACCTTCATTGATGTGTTTTGTCACATCCTCAAAGAATTGCATAAGCCTTGTGGGGCATGACCTGCCCCTCACAAAGCCATGCTGACTATTTCTAATCAAACTGTGCTTTTCCAAATAATCATAAATACTATCTCTGAGAATCCTCTCTCATAATTTGCCCACCATAGAAGTAAGACTGACTGGTCTGTAATTTCAAGGATTATCCCTATTCCCTTTCTTGAACAAGGGAATGACATTTGCTACCCTCCAATCTTCTGGCACTACTCCAGTGGACAGTGAGGACACAAAGATCATTGCCAAAGGGGCAGCAATCTCTTCCCTCTCTTCCCATAGAAACCTTGGGTATATCCCGTCTGGCCCAGGGGACTTATCTATCCTCATGTTTTTCAATATTTCTAGCACATTCTCCATCCTAACAACAATCTGTTCAAACATATCTGAGTGTTTTATGTTGTCCTCGCAAACATCAAGGTCCCTGTCACTGGTAAATACTGAAGCAAAGTATTCATTAAGAACCTCCCCTACCTCCTCTGACTCCGCACACAATCCCTCCACTATCCCTGATTGGCCCTACCCTCACTCTGGCCATCCTCTTGTTCCTCACATAAGTATAGAAAGCCTTGGGGTTTTCCTTGATCCGGCCCGCCAAGGTTTTCTCATACCCACTTCTAGCTGTCCTAAGTCCATTCTTCAGTTCCTTCCTGGCTACCTTGTAGACCTCTAGAGCCCTGTCTGATCCTTGCCTCCTCAACCTTCTATCCTACACCTGACTTCCACTTTTTATATACTGCCTATAGTGTTCCACCATGGGCTACTTGCAGTTTATCTCTTTACTGTCAGAATTCATTGCAGTTAAATAGCTGACATAGCACACCCGGAAGCTTCTAGAATAATAGACTGAGGGTCAGTTGTTCTTCATAACAATTTAAAAATAGCACCAGGAGCTTTTAAACCAGCTGCACCGTACAATATGATCATAGTTGATCTGATTTTGGGCATAATAATGAAAACAAAAGGTCAAGGCACAAAATGTGGGCGGTAGACCAAGTTGCAAGAGGGAATTTGTTATTTCAAGGGGGTTGGAGTGTAAGAGTAGGGAAGTCTTAACAAGTATAAAGGGATTTTCTTAGGAGGAGAGTTTGAGCTTGGACTCATTGGAGTTCAGAAGAATGAGAGAACACCTTATTAAAGCATACAAGATTCCTCAGAGTAAATACAGAGAGATTGTTTCGCCTTGTGGGAGATTCTGGGATATGAGAGCGTTATTTCAGAGCTCGCCCATTTAAGACAGGGATGAGAGTAGTGAACCCGTGAAATCTGTGTGACAGAGGGCTGTTTAGGCTGGGTTGTTAACGTATTCAAGTCTGAGATAGACAGATATTTGATCAGTAAAGGGATCGGGTATGGGGATAAGGCAGGAAAGTGGAGTTGAGGATTATCAGATTAGCACTGATCTTATTGAGTGTCGGTGCAGTCATGATGTGCCAAATGGCCTATTTATGCTATTAGTTCTTATTGCCTAAGGGCAGGACAGTTTTCCCTGGTGAATCTTTATCAATTAACCAACCACACAGAACAGATAATCTGGTCATTATCACATTGCTGTCTGTGACACTCTGCTATATGTGCATTTTCTACATTACAGTTTTGCAGTTTACAGTTTACAGTTTTGAATGTAACTAATTGGCCATACACCTCTTTGGGGCATTCTGAGATTTTAAATTAATCTAAATGAATGCAAGACTTTTTTTCTGCAGCCAAAATTTGTATGTGTTCACTGAAAATCCCGTTCTTGGGCTTCTTAT